AGCTGTGTGCAGCGGCTTTTGCATATGAATGGCCTGTCCTTTCTCAGCCTAAAACCCATCAAACTGCAGCTGGGTCAGAGAGCCCCAAAGCTATCTAAAGAAGGCAAAGGCCAGCACTGGTCCTCACAGCCTATTGGCCTGGAGGGAAACAAACACAGGAAAGCAGCCAAATTGTGGAGACAAAGAAACGTGTCACAAATGGAAGAAAGCAAACTACTGGATATAGAGTTCAAAACCACAGTTATAAAGTTACTCAAGAATCTTCTAGAAAGCTCCGAGAAACTTAGACCTTCAAGGAACTTAGTGAGACCTTCAAGGATTTTAGTGAGAATGCCAAAAAAATGGAAAAGGACCAGTCAGAAATTAAGCATACACTGACTGAAATAAAGAATAATACACAGAGATTCAACAGTAGAGTAGAGGATCCCAAGAATCAAGTCAAAGATTTGAAAAACAAGGAAGCAGAAAACACCCAACCGGAAGAGCAAAAAGAAAAAAGAATCCAAAAATATGAAGATAGTGTAAGGAGCCTCTGGGACAACTTCAAGCGTACCAACATCCGAATTATGGGGGTGCCAGAAGATGAGAGAGAGCAAGATATTGAAAACCTATTTGAAGAAATATTGACAGAAAACTTCCCCTACCTGGTGAAAGAAATAGACTTACAAGTCCAGGAAGCACAGAGAACCCCAAACAAGAGGAATCCAAAGAGCACAACACACCAAGACACATCATAATTAAAATGCCAAGGGCAAAAGACAAAGAGAGAATCTTAAGAGCAGCAAGAGAAAGAGACTCAATTACCTACAAGGGAATACCCATACGACTGTCAGCTGATTTCTCAACAAAAACTATGCAGGCCAGAAGGGAGTGAAAAGAAATATTCAAAGTGATGAGTAGCAAGAACCTACAACCAAGATTACTCTACCCAGCAAAGCTCTCCTTTAGCACTGAAGGTCAGATAAAGAGCTTCACAGACAAGAAAAAGTTAAAGGAGTTCATCACCACCAAACCAGTATTATATAAAATGCTGAAGGGTATTCTTTAAGGAATAAGAATAAGAGGAGGAAGAAGAAAAAGGTAAAGGTAAAAAATTATGAACAACAAAGTGACAACAAATACATATCTATCAACAAGTGAATCTAAAAATCAAATGAATAAAAAATCTGATGAACAGAATAAACTGATGAATGTAATAGAATCAGGGGCATGGAAATGGAGTGGACTGACAATTCTCTGGGGGAAGGGGGTGTGGGGGGGTGCGGTAAGAGATGGGACAAGGATCTTATATGCATATACACAGTACCTATGGACATGGACAGTAGGTGGCGAGGGCCTGGGGTGGGGTAGGAACCAGGTGGAGGGGAGCTATGGGGGGAAAAAAGAGGGACATCTGTAATAATCTGAACAATAAAATGTTTTTTAAAAAGTAAAAACTCTCTAAGAAGATACACTGATCCTAAAATTGTAGATACCTAATAACACATCCCCCAAATAAAGTTAATTAAATTACAGTAATTTAATTAGAAGGAAAAATTGTAGAGATAATTTTTTAAAAAAAGATCAATGTTTGCAATTCAATTTCAATACAAAATAAAAGGAGAGAGGAATGTGTATGGCACACAAGGGATCCACTGGGGGATCTTTAGGTAACCTCTTGTTTAATTTTGATGGCTTGATTTAAGTAGACAAGTGCAGTATGTGCATGGTATCCAACATGCAGTGGAGAAGGAATGATGGCTTGGGCTCAGGCACCTCAGAGAGTATATTTTTAGATCTGGGTCTGTCCACCAGTTAAGTGATAGCTGAGGGTGAGAGGAATGTAGAACAGACAGCACATGGATAGCAGAGGAGGGAGACGATCAGTTGAGGGTGTAAGACCAGCTGCTGAGCTAGCTAAGGCACTGTAGTTCATTCCACTAACGTTCTCTCATAAATTTCCCCAGCAAAAGAAACCAACCAGAACCCTGGAGGAGCTTTTCTTAGATGCAGTGAAATCATATGTAACAATAGACAAAGATGGCACAATGGATGGACAGCAGTGTATTCTTTGGTGTATATAAAATTGAGGCACTCATTCCCCTGCCATCTTCAAGTGTTCTCTGTTGAGAGCCCATAACCAAGTCCCTCAGATAAAAGGAACTGTGTCGCCCAAATTACACTTCCTCCCAAGGACAGTACACATCCAATGGCTACTTGATGGGAGTTTATATTAATTGTTGCCAACAGACTTTTAAGTAATATGTTGTGAGTGAAAGAAAAATTGAGTTAGATGAGCTGTTGGGGAACTGTTGGTGAGCAGACAGGAAATAATGATCATGTGGTCAGTGGGGGCCACTGAAATTCAGAGGGTTATTCAAGCAAAAAGCAACTGAGATAGGTGCCTATTCTGTATTAGGAAGCAATTCAACCTGATCGATTACTTTAAACGTTCCAAGGGTATTTACAGATTTATTTTGTTCTTGAAATATGTAAATACTAAGAACACATTCTATTTTACATTTTTTATTAAATTAACTTTGTAATAAAAATCATAGAAAAGCTCTGTAATCAAATCACATGTTTATCCAGTCCTTGCTTTTGTGTAGTCTTCACATATTTGTATCTTTTAATTTTTGTCTCGAGTAAGAAAATTCATTAGAAGAAGCAGGCAGGTGATGACAAATGAACTTTTAATGAAGTGCTCATTATGATAATTCTTGTTTTGTTTCGTTTGGACTACAGCGTGCAAGTAATCTGGGCCCCAGTATGTTAATAAGCAGAGCTCCATTTGGAGCTGTGATCAAGATGGCTAAAAATGCTATTGTCATCACATCCTTCGCATATGGTTCCAAGTGGGGTGAGCTGATTCTTGCAGTTTCTAGAGCCAGAGGACCTAACACAGCCTGCATTTGGGTGGTGGGTGGGTGAGAGAACATGAGGCATAGTGAAAAATGTTAATCAAAGTTAACATATAATAAAAGCAAATGACTCTGTTAAAATAAGCAAAACCTGGTACTAGGCTAGTGATTTTCAACCATTATGCTGCAATAATTTTTAAAACATGCAATATTTGATTATTTTAGTCAGAAGCACTGACCTCTTTTCCCTTAGATTGTCAAATTAAAAAACATGACAACAGCCAACACAACAATAGCTGTCCAATGTGAATGAATCAAAATTACACCTATTCTTTTTTCGTAAAATTAATAAAAATATAATACACTTTTTAGTGTGCTACAGAATTTTAGTAATTAGTTTATGTGTGCTATGAGATGAAAGAGGATGAAAATAGCTGTACTAGACTACTAGAAAAGAAGCAAGACAAAGCACTGAGGAATTTTCATGAGTTACTCATGAATGCTATGTTCTTCTTAGCAAATATCTCTAGAGTAAGAGTGAAATAGTGACAAATTAGCATGCAGACATTTTAGGGCTGATTTTGTATTTTTGTCATCTCAGCTTTCCCCTACTTAAATATATATATTTGAGTGCTCGTATGACTCTCAGAACCTTGAGTTGTAACTGAACCAAGGTTTTGCTTATTTGCTATTACCAAGTACCACTTGGTTCTTGGCTACAACAAGACAATCCAAATACAAAGGTTTCTTAGGGTTCACTAGGGTTTTGTTGATCATATTCTCCTTGTTCTTCCTACTTGGGAGGCAGTGTGATATAGTAAAACTGACAAGGAGTTTGGAATCCACAAACTGGGCACAGAGAGATTATGAACTAACTTGACTAAGGTTATAGGCAAGTAACATGGTATTCAAAACAGGCAGTCTGGCCCCATAGTCTGCTCTCTAACTATGACATAGAGAATTTTGTTGCATGGAGGCTCACAAGCTTTTGTTTTGGAATAACAATGGAGAAAAGAATCTCAGGGAATCAAGACATTATGCTGCCAGGTGAAAAAGTCTAACAATAAGTAGTAATACCTTTTAGTAGGAGGGAATATCATTGAATTAGAGGACGAACTACATCATTCATTCATTCATTCATTCATTCATTCATTCTTGTAGGCATGTAATGGTTATTTATTGTGTACTTCTTGCTTCCCTGGCACTTTGCTAAGTGCAAGGGAAAAACAATGGTGGAAACCCTAGACATGGTTCTTATCCTTTCTGTGTTATCTAGTGGGAAGATTCAGTCAGTAATCAAATAGTCATACAAAATAAATGTGTAATTAATAATAATATATGTACATTCATCTGTGGTGGAGTGGGTGGAAGGAGAAGAAAATATATATTTTAAAGAGAACCAATGTCTCTCTATTTTAATATCATAACATTTAGCTCCACAATATTTAGCAATATTCAGTCTGCAATGTATCTCTATGACCGTTCAATCCGTAGGCTGATGCTCTAACCACTGAGAAAACTGGCTAGGGCAATTTTTTTCTTCAGATATACTCTTATTTTATGTTTTGGAAAAATAGAAAACATTTTTCATAAGTTAAGGAAGTATTTAATTAAAATTACACTTTTCAATTTCAGAAGAATTGATTTTAAAACTGAGATTTTTAAAGATTACATTAATTTTAATTAGTAGCTATGATCAATCAAACATTTTTAAAATAAGACTAATGGCCCACATATTATGATTGGACAAACAGTTGTCATTTAGAATTTTTAAAAATCAATACTAAAATTATTAGAATAACTAAATATGTTCTTACCTGGACTGTAGCTTTGGGTATCCATGACAGAGCAATAAATATTTTCTCCTTAAAATTAAAACCAGCAAAAGTCACCAAGAAAAATGTAGCAGAAATTCGAACCAATAAGGCCAAACTCATACAAGCAATAGAAATACCTACAACAGATAAAAAACAAATATAAATAACAAAATACTTGGGAAGAAGTGGTTCTTTATATCTAGAGATATGATCTGTAAAAGTATTGAAAACTTTTAAGACTATTCCCTCTTTCGGTTTTTATTTTTAAGTAAACATAATAATCATAAAAATACAAATATAATTGAGGCCTTTATGTAAAGCAGAAGAGGTTATCTGATGGTGGTGGTATCATGAAAAATAAGATAAATTGCATTTATTTAATTCTGAGCTAATAGACTTTGAACTTTTACTACAAGTGAAAGTATTAAACAGGTGCTGATAGTATCTAATATTTCCCCTCGGAAAAAAATTCTAATCTCCATTTCCAATCTCTAATCTTCCTCCATTAGGGAAGATATGGGACTATCTTTGGTAACAATTTTCTTAAATATTTTCAACTCATATTTTTTGTGCTATAATCATTCTTACCAATAGCATCTGATTTAAGAGCTTCAACAGATACTTCCAATCCAACCAAAGCAAAAAGAAGGGGTTTAAAAATATCCCATGCAAATGTAATAATTTTTTGAACTTCACTCTATAGAAAAGAGAGTATATTTTTAGTTATTGTGGCATATAAAAATAACTGCATTTCAGAAATTTAAAGTCTATTTTATTACATAAAATTAAGATATTTATTTGTAGAAGAAATGTTAAACAATAAAAATTGAGTTGGGTCATTCTTTTACTCAAACACTTCGGTAGAATTTGACTAACAGAAATTCCAAAGCTATAAAATAAAAATATTTGGTAATTGTGTCATGAAACAAGTAAGGTCTTTGGAGCCCCAGACACATTTCTGATGGTTCAGTAAGAGTTCTAGCTTTTGTTTGCAAGGTAACAGAACGGAGACAGAACTACATCATGCCCAATGAGAACATACTCAAGATCAGGCAAACATTTTAGCTCTCAACATGAAAGTGAATCCTGATAGTCTTAAACTGTGAGGGAAAAAATTTTGGTAATCTGTTAGGCTGTTTTGGAAGGACCCATTTTGAAAACTTGTTATTTTTTTTCCTTAAAGCCAAACCCAAAACATATTAAATTAATTAATTTATTGATTGATTTTTAGAGAAAGAGAGGAAGGGAGGGAAAAAGAAATGACGACTTGTTGTTCTACTGCACTTACTGTTTTTCATATGTGCCCTGAACAGGGATCAACCCACAACCTTGGCGTATCAGGAGGATGCTCTAACTTACTCAGCTACTTGGCCAGGGCAAAACGTTTAGATTTTTACTTGGTTGCTTGCCAGACCTCCCTTTCTGGGAATAAATCTCTCCCTGTTCTATCTGCTAGTGATGTGGTTACAGCAAAGACCCTATAGACATAACAGTGCTGGCTCTTCTCCAGGAACTTGGATGAAGAGTTTCAGCCTAATCTGAACAGAAAATACATCAAACTTTGATCTCCTTTGTTTGGGGCAGAAACTATATTTTTAACTATTCCTTTTTTGTCTGTATTTTCTGATTGCCATTTATAGTAAGAGTGAAGTTTAAAAGAGGGAAAAACAAAAAACCCCACCCACAATATTACTCTTCCTTGCTTATAGCACATTATTCTATTTGTTACTTTTGATTTTTACAGTCTATTTTCTTATTGTCAGATTTCCTTTATCACATAAAAATAGAATTCTAGTAGTTTTCATTTTATTTATCTAATTATAATTTATTATTAACTATTTTTTATAATTATGGAATACTAAACAAAATGCCAGTATAACTTTTGGGTATGGAACTTCTCAAGCTGATTATAAAATTTTTCTAAAATTCAGGAATGGCCAAGTAATACCTTAAAAATAAATTCCATGAGAGGAAATCTATATTAGATTTTGCGACATAAAACTATGACCTATGATATAAAATAGACTTAGAGTATCTATAGGAAACATAAGTAGGATTAGGTTCCAGAAATGAACTTAGATATATTTGAGGGTTTAAGTCACATTAAAGAGGCATTTAAAGGTCACTGAATAATTAATGCTTAGTCAATAAATAATTTGGCAAAAATTGGCTATCCAATTTATACCCATTTCTATCCATATACAACTATTATATGTGTATATATGTATATCTATGAATACATATATAAACACATACATCTGCATCCTTATCTCACAGCATTCACAAAAATAAATTCCAGATGAATTAAAGAACCAATGCAAAAACAATAAAAACTACCAAAGTATGAGATGATAATATAGAAGATATTATAATGTTTATAATCTTATAATCTTGAGTAAAGAAATCCTTCTTTAATAACATACTGAATACAAAATAAAAAAGGAAAAACTGACAGGATTGACTATAGGAAATATTGCAATACTATTGACTATATTCCTTGTGCTGCATTACATCACTGTGACTTATTTACTAGTGGCCCAGTGCACAAAATTTGTGCACGGGAGGGAGGGTTGGGGTTCCCTCAGCCCAGCCTGCACCCTTTCCGATCGGGGGCCCTTAGGGGATGTCCGACTGCCAGTTTAGGCCCTGTGGGATCAGGCTTAAACCGGCAGTCGGACATCCCTCTCGCAATCTGGGACCACTGGCTCCTAACTGCTCCCTTTCCTGCCTGCCTGTTCGCCCCTAACCTCTCTACCTGCCTGCCTGCTTGCCCCTAACTGCCCTCCACTGCCAGCCTGATCTTGCCCCCAACTGCCTCTACCTGCCTGATCACCCCTAACTGCCCTCTCCTGCTGGCCTGATATCACCCCCAATGGTCCTCCCCTGCCTGCCTGATCGCCCCTAACTGCCCTCCCCTGCTGACCTGATCTCACCCCCAACGACCCTCCCCTGCCAGACTGATCTCACCCCAACTGCCCTCCCCTGCCTGCCTGATTGCCCCTAACTGCCCTCCCCTGCTGACCTGATCTCGCCCCCAGCTGCCCTCCCCTGTCGACCTGGTTGCCCCCAACTTCCCTCCCCTGCCAGCCTGATCTAGCCCCCAACTGTCTGCACCGCTGGCTTGATCGCCCCTAACTGCCTCTGTCCCTCCCTCCCCCCACCATGGCTTCGTCCGGAAGGAAGTCGGACGTCTGGAAGATGGCTGGTCGACCCGGTCTAATTAGCATATTATCCTTTTATTAGTAAAGATGGATTATAGAGGATAGGATTGCTTAAATGGGGAGGGAGCCTTTTTCAGCAGGAGGAGATGCTCTTGGCAGACAAAAATACATAATCCCTATATCTGGATTGATAGCCAGCCATATGCACTATACTGTCAAACCGGTCATTAAAAAATTGAACCACTTTCTTCCACCTTACACCAAACAGCTGTTGCACTTAAAACCCCTCCTCAGCCCCCACCTTAGGTTTTGCCTTCGCAGTTCACCCAGATTAGGTTCTGATTTTTTGGTTTCCATGCCAGTCAGCGTCAGAAGCTCCACCTCCTAGGCAGCCATTAACTCCTTGCAGTTCACCCATATTTGGTTCTGATTGGTGGGTTTCTATGTCAGTCAGCGTTGCCAGGCCTATCTCTGGGCCTGATCAGAGAGGCGGGGCTGATCAGGAGCCCCCGCAGAGGCCCGGAGAGAAATAGAGGTGCAGCTGCTGGCCAGGCCCGGAGAGAAAGAGAGTGGCAAGGGCTGACCAACACGGAGGCTACGAATCAGGCCCTGCTTCTCTTTCCAGGCCTCTCTCCGGACCTGATCTGCAGCCCCCTCGGCAGTAAGTGCTGGGTTGCCACACCTGCAGCAGCGGCAGTCAGTGATGGGTCACCACGGCAACCCAGCACTGACTGCAGGACTGACTTCTGGTCGGTCGAGCCTTCGGTCATTTTGGACGTTACGGACCCTGGGTTTTTATATCCTAATATATAAAAGCCCTGGGTCCACATGACCAAAGGCTGGACCAACCAGAAGTCAGTCCTGCAGTCAGTCAGAGCTGGGTTGCCGTGGCGACCCAGCACTGACTGCTGCGGCTGCAGGCACAGTGACCCAGCACTGACTGCTGAGGGGGCTGCAGATCAGGCCTGGAGAGAGAAGCAAGGTCTGATCCATAGCCTGTGTGGCAGCTATTGATCAGCACTTGCCTCTCTCTTTCTCTCCCAGCGGGGCCAGCAGCCATGCCTCCATTTCTCTCCAGGCCTCCACCAGGGCTGCTGATCAGCCCCGCCTTTCTGATCAGGCCCTATTGATAGGCCCAGAGATGCTGACTGGCATAGAAACCAACCAATCAGAACCAAATTGGCCAGCAGGGGAGGGCAGTTGGGGGTGAGATCAGGCCACCAGGGGAGGGCCGTTGGGGGCAATCAGGCCGGCAGGGGAGAGCAGTTGGGGGTGATCAGGAAGGTAGGCAGAGCAGTTAGGGGCGATCAGACAGACAGGCAGAGGGGTTAGGGCAGGAGTGGGCAAACTTTTTGACTCAAGGGCCACAATGGGTTCTTAAACTGGACCGGAGGGCCGGAACAAAAGCATGGATGGAGGGTTTGTGTGAACTAATATAAATTCAAAGCAAACATCATTACATAAAAGGGTACGGTCTTTTTTTTTTTTAGTTTTATTCATTTCAAACGGGCCATAGTTTGCCCATGGCTGGGTTAGGGGCAATCAGGCAGGCAGGCAGAGGTAGTTAGGGGCGATCAGGCAGGCAGGCAGGCAGGCAGAGGCAGTTAAAGGCAATCAGGAAGGCAGGCAAGTGAGCAGTTAGGTCCTGCAGTCAGACATCCCCCAAGGGGTCCCTGATTGGAGAGAGTGCAGGCTGGGCTGAGGGAACCACCCTCCTCCGTGCACAAATGTCATGCACCGGGCCACTAGTATTTGGAAAATTGCAAGTTTGTACCTTTTACTGTCCTTCACCATTTTCATTCATTCTCCCACACCATTCCCTTCTGACAACCATCAGTTTGTTCTCTGTATCTATGGGTCTATTTTTGTTTTGTTTTTTAGATTACACATATAAGTGAAAGAATATAGTATTTGTCCTTCTCTGTCTGACTTATTTCTTTCCTTTTTTAAAAATATATTTTATTGATTTTTTACAGAGAGGAGGGGAAAGGGATAGAGAGTTTGAAACATTGATGAGAGAGAAACATCGATCAGCTGCCTCCTGCACACTCCCTACTGGGGATGTACCCGCAACCAAGGTACATGCCTTGACCGGTTTCGAACCTGAGACCCTTGAGTCCACAGGCTGACGCTCTATACACTGAGCCAAACTGGTTAGGGCTGTCTGACTTATTTCACTTAGCACAGTGCTCTCCACATCCATCCATGTTGTTGGAAATGGTTAAGATTTTGGTCCTTTTGTAGATGAATAATATTTCATAAATAATGTTATATAGTTTTTTTCCCCATCAGATTAAAAATAATAGAACTAGTGGTAATATTAGTGTGTTGATGGGTTGAGGTATTGGGGACTCTGCTAACCTGGTGGTAGTAAATAGTGTAAATATATAAAATCTTTTGAATGGAGAATTTGGCAGTCCCCATCAAAATAGAAATGTACCATTTTTGAAATTCAACAATTCTATTTCTAGGAATATATTCCTACAGAAGTACTTGTACACTTGCAAAAACACACATGAACAGGACTGTTCATGGC